CTGCTGCGCTGAGCCCCGCGGCGGTGGCGGCGGCGGCAGATCCCGTGTCAGAATAAGAGTCCCCGCGTGCCCACGCCTGCAGGGCCGGCCCTCCCCCCGCCCTTCCCCCACTCGCGCCCTTCCTGCTTGACCCCGGGGAGCCGCGGGACCCTTCCCCCTCTCTGGGCGCCAGCCTTTCCCCAAGGCCCTGCACTTTAAATTTGCCTCCTCATTTAGGAGGTGGCTTTATTGATTTCTTTTTTCCCCACCTAGAATGGGTTGGCATCAGTGACTAGACAGTAGCAGCTGGCCTTTTAAAGGGATTATTGCCAAGAATCGGAATTGATCACTTCAACAAGGAAGGGCTTATGGGCAGGGCCTCTGCTGCAGCCGGACACTCGGGGACCTGGAAATGAATGGAAATCTCTCCCTTAGGGGCTGCGTGATGATCCTTGGGTGCATGTTTCTGCCCAGCCCTGAGAATTTTGCCGAGGCTGCTTCACTTTGTGTAACTGGTTCAGCGTCTTGTGTGTAGTGCATCCTTATCTTAAGCACCGCGGATTCTTTAGAACAAAGTCTGGGTGAGTCACCTGAGCCTTCAGTTTTCTCTCTTCCTTCCCCCTTCGCTTCTTTCAGTTTTCTTGGAGCATACAGCGCCCCTTCCCTCTCTGTTCTGTGTGCCCATCTGCACAGTGACACCTCCTGGCTGTGGGCTCCAGGGAGGGACAGACAGCCCTCTGTGCAGCAGTCGCCTGGTCTGGGACTCATCCCGGGCGGTCAGTGTACTTTCCTTGTAGCAGTTAGCAGTTTTCTCTTCAGCTAGGTTACATGAAGTTCTGTTTGGTGGCAGCAGTTCGTTCTGTACGCTCAGGGCAGCAGCTTGCTAGAGTTGACCAGGAGCTGTGGAGGAGGGCACACAGCTCGGGCTGGCCTCGGGTTTGAGTGCCTACTGTGTGCCAGCTTTCACTCTCGGACGGATTTGGTGTCCATAATGATCCCACAGCGTCGAGGTCCCACCCCACTTTACACGTGGGGTAACTGGGGCTCCTGGAGGCCACTGCTAGTGGAGCTTCAGAACCAGGCCAGACTCCTCAGGGGGGGCACCAGAGCCCCGATGTACTGCTGGAAGGTTCAGCCTGTGAGGCTTTCCCTGGAGCGTTGATGCTTGAGTCGGAGCCAGGCTCCTAGGCACCTCTGCGTGGACGTGGGGGGACCTGGTGTCTCAGGGACACAGTCCCAGCCCAGCCTAGTCCTCTGAGAGCCCAGTCACCAGCTGGCCTTGGAGGAGGGAGCCATAGGGTTGCTTCTTTGCATTTTGCCTTCTCAGCCTGGGACCTAGAAAAGTTGCCCGTTTTCTAGAGCAAGCAGTTTAGAGTGTGGGAATTTTGAGAGTGGCTTTCTATACTCAATCTTTGCTGCTGACCCGTCTTTCACGCCTGGTGTCTTCCATTCCTTACTTATCCCCCAGCTTTTTTTTTTTTTTTTTTAATCCCCCTGCTTCTGAAGCTGGATTTTGCAACCATTCTTCGAAGTAGTGAGAAAGGGAGAGTTGTGTATGACTGGTTTGGGTGCTTTGTTATTTTCACTGAGATAATACCTTTTTTTTTTTTTTTTTTTTTAAGACAGGGTCTCACTTTGTAGGCCAGGCTGGCCTGGAACTCACTGTGTAGCCCAGGCTGGCCTTGTAGCGATCAGCCTCCTGCCTCAGCCTCCCAAGTGCTGGGATTACAAGTGTGCGCCACCACGCCCGGCAACATCATTTGTCTTGGGGGGGTGGTGGTGGTGGTGGTGGTGGTGTGTGTTCCGGTATGGAGAATCGAACTCACGACCTTGCGCTTGCCAGGCAGGCGCCCTGCCACTGAGCTAAATCCCCAGCTGCTCATTTTTTAAAATGTCAAGTCATCTCTATTAACAAGGTATCATTTTGGAGATCCTGTGATTATTTATTTATTTATTTATTTATTTATTTTTGAGACAGCGTTTCACTATGCGTGCTTTATATTTTGATGGGGGGAAAAATTGCTACTGTTGGAAGCAAAACATCCTGGAAGGATTTGTACTGACCTGTTCTCTGAATTAGGATTACCAGTAGCCCTACCCCCTCCACTCCTTTTAAAGAAAATTTTCTGGTATCTCTATTTTGTGATTTTTTTTTTTTTAAATAAAGACTTTGAGTAATGAAACATTTTAAAGCTTTAATTCTCAACCCTTTAGTAGCTCTTTGACTTGTTTTCCATCATTTATTTTGTGAATTTCTGGCATTGCTAGTGGTGATTTGTGGATTGATTTATTCAGTGCATATCGGCATGCATACTGTGCCTCCGGCACCGTGCTAGGGATCCCTGCTCAGTGGAGTTTACGGTGAGATTAGTGGGCGAAGAATAGTAATTAATCTCATAAACGTGGCGAAACTGACAGCGGCCAAGGAGAGAAGGACACCCTGCCCTAGGGAGCCCACGGGGCCTTTCTCCTGTGGGGTCAGAGGATGAGTGGGGTTAAGTGGGTAAGGAGAAAGTGTCTCTGGCGAGAGTGCTTGAAGCGGAAGGAAGATTGGCACGCTGGGGCGCAGAGCAGTGGCAGTGGGGACTAGATGGAAGGGCGCGGGGGAGGGCCTGGGGCTGAAGTGGTGTCTAGGGTTTCTCCTGAGAACAGTGGGACCCCATTGATGGGGAGGAGGGAGGGGCAGGGACTGGCCCTGAGAGCTGCAGCCAGCCAGGACCGCTGGGTTTTAATTAGCAGAGGAGTGAAGCTTGCTTCTGAAGGATGTGGGTGGGAAGGCAGTGAAGCCATTTGAAATGCTGGCTCTTTCTCATATTGGTGCTCCGGGGAAGACATTAAGGATGACCTGCGGAGTCTTGGATGTGGACGTGTCAGTTCCCCTAGAGACAGTGTCACCACTCCCATGGGAATCCAGTCCAGGACCTCAGTGTGCACTAGCGCTGAAAGTGTGGGTACCTGACGCTCGCCCCGAGAGGTGGCTGCCTGGATGCTGGGGTAGGGGGTTTCCATGCCGTCAGGAACAAGCAGGGCTGTTTCCCTAGACCAGTGATGGCGAACTCAATGATAACAAACAGCCTGCCATGGCATGTGTGCCGTAGGTTCGCCACCACTGCCCTAGACCTTTCTCTCCTCTGCTAATTGAGTTAATATATGCTCGCTGTAGCAAACGGGGAAGATTGTGAAACAGGCCGTGGGTGAAGCAGCTGTCCCGGGGTGGTTGAACATCACTGGGATTCCCTCCCCACCCGACAGGCTGGGAAGTGCAGCCGAACCGGAAGGACGAGTTGTCAGTGTGGTAGTTAGGGCTTACTGAACGCTGCTGCCTCTGAAGCGTGGTCCTGTGTTAGAGAGGTTGTTCTGGAGTTACCGGAACTGTTCCAGGAGGTGAGTGAGACAGCCTGGCCTCTGATTGCCGTGCTTCCAGGTAAGGAAAGTTGTTTTATGTACTGAGTGGGGAGTCACCTCTTTGTTGAATTAGACAGGCATCGTGGTAAGGTTGGCATAAAAGTGATAGGGGTCTTGAGGTGATCACAGCGAGATAGAAGTGATGTTCTCCGAAACAGAGTACCGTGAGGGCAGATTCTGCCTGCCTGTGGATTCCCACAAGCGTGATTCAGGACTTCGTCGAGAGAATGTCAGATTCTGGGCTTGCCCCTCCCCCGCCCTGTGCTTTCCAGGTTGTATTTGTGACCTCTTTTTGTCTGATGAAAATGTAGGTTAGTCTTTTAGAAGACAAAGGAACTTATTCCAATAGAATACCTGAAGGGAGCCTCAGGAAGTGACTGGAAATCCTGCGAACCCCTGGGGGAGAGGGCCTTGGGGAGAGGGCTCCCTGGGTAAGGCCAGGGCCCCTTGCAACTGTCCCTCCAGCCTCATTCACAGGTGAGTTTGGCAGGGACTTGCTCTCTAGGCTGATTCCTGGTTTTCGGGCTCCTACGGGCTCTGAGAAGTGCAGATGCTGGCTCTGAGACAGCATGGGGAAGGCATGCTGGCAGGAGGTGGGCAGTGCCTCGGAGGGGCTGGCGGCCGCTGGGGCCCCAGGACGGAGGGGCTGCGGCCTCCCTTAAAGATAGCAAGGCGGAGCTGTGGCTGGGGGAGGGGAGGCCATCGCCTTGCATTGCCGGATCACCCATGTGGAGTTGGAGAGAAAGTCTGCTCATTTGAAGCATTTGTTGAAGAAATCACTCAGCCATTCTCCCTGCAGCTCTGTCTGGCCTACCTTGCTGGTCAGATCTTTTGGTTTGAACCTTGAAACTTGACTCAGCCTAAAAGAGGGTGGTGTCTTCGAGCACACTTTGAGAATATAGCTGGCTGGGTGCAGTGGCGTAGGCCTGTAATCTCAGTACTCTGGGAAGCTGAGGCAGCAAGATCACAAGTTTGAGTTCAGAGTCAGGGATATAGCCCAGCGGCACAAGCGCCTGCCTGGCGAGCGCAAGGTCCTGAGTTCGATTCCTGGTACCAAAAACAAACAGACAAACAAACAAAAACAAGTTTGAGTTCAGCCTGGGCAACTTAGTGACTTAGAGACACCCTGTCTCAAAAAATAAGAAATGAGCTGGGCATAGTGGCACATGCCTGTTATTCCAGCACTCGGGAGGCCGAGGCAGGAGGATGAGTTCACTCATTCCAGCACTGGGGAGGCTGAGTTCAGGGGCAGCCGGAACTACAGTGAGACCTTGTCTCAAAAAAAAAAACAAACCTGAAAAAAGAAAAAGACGTTTGGCGGGATAGTGCTGGGTGAAGGCCTGGGTTCAGTCTTTAGGACTGTCAAAAAAAAAACACACAGAAAAACCACAGAAGAATATTCTTGCGTTTTAGTGGCAGAACAGCCCCCCCATGCCAGGGGGACAACTCCAAGTCCAGTGCTACCTGCTGTTTGCCAAGGTTGACCTGAGCAGCGGGTTCCTGGAGCGGCAGCCATGTCTGTTGGCCTTGGCGTGGCCTCTGCCTGACTGTGAACGCTGCAGGTCACTTCCTAGTGACTGGACTTGGTGACAGCGCCGTTCAGTTTCCATGTCTGTGAACGGGTGGTGCTGGCTGTCCATCTGAGAGGCAGTGGTGGGCACAGGGTAGTGGGAGCAGAGGTGCACCCTAGTGCCAGGTGTGAGTGTGTGTAGGTGCTGCACTGCCTGTGTGGGGCCCTTCCCTTCCGTGGGACAGACTGTCACGGTCTGCTCTTTGTCCTTTGGAGCTTTTTCTCTGCTTTGTGCTACAGCCTCCCTCTGTGTTCCAGGGAAAAGCAGGCTAAGACTCCTACAGGGAGACCTACCTATATCACCTTGCTGCTGACCCTGCAGGTGGGACTTGGGCACGTCCTTTCTGATTTCAGAGTTTTGTCTTGGGACCTCTCTGCTGACACCCAACCACTGGGCTCATTGTGCCCCACCAAGCAAGCTGGCTGTGCACTTACACAGCCGGTGTCCTGACTGAGGTGTGAGGTGGGACGCTGTTTGCCAGGCGCTCTGTCCTGAATCTGGCCCTTGGGAGCAGGCATGGGAGTAGGCTGTGGATGTGTGCGCAGTGGCTCCAGGGAGAGCTGATATCCTTCTAGACGAAGTGCTCTAGCTGGCTTGGGTGTCAG